TATGGTAAGCATCGGCCAGCACGTTTCGATCGCAGTCATCTTTCCAAAGGTCTGATCTCACCCGTCAGCTATGGCAGGCCTGACATTATCAGGGGAATTCTCCTCTTCCAGTCTGGTACATGGCAGAGATTCCAGTGCTATCTGCCGCATTGGCTTTCTAACAGTCCCGCTGTGTCAAATTAGACTGTATTCGCATCTGGCATCTGAGCAGAATGAATGAAGCAGTTTTTATTTGCATTGTTTCTCTGGTTTAATAATGAATGAGTGAAAGGTCGTGCTGCGTGGAGGGATGAAACGCTTTTGTTCAGCCGTTGCTTTGCACAAATGATCTCTATCTTCACACTTCTCATACACTCCCCCTCTCCTGCTTTCTTTCTTCGCCGTGTGTGTGTGTGTGCATGTAAAGTGTTGTGACAACTCCTATCCCGGAGCGCTTAAGCGCACATTCCATTCCTCCTAGTGGTCCCCCGGGTACGGCCCACCCTTTTCAATTAGAGCCGCAGCCACAGAAAGACCAACAGGTGCAGAGGCCACAAAACAAGATGAATTAGGCACCGAGCCAATGCAGCCACTGAAACACATGCAATTACACCCACCCACCCAAACACACACACACACACAGCCAGTTCACACACAATTTGGACATATTTGTCACTGGTTAAGCTGTGGTTTTGAGGTTCCAGCGCTGAGATGTTACAGGCTGTTTTTCTGGCCTTCTGTTCGACATTCTTAAGACACACTGTCAGCTGGACTGGTTCTGCGTATCTCAGCATCCAGCGCATAAATATATTTGATCTCATCCTCTGTTCGAGATCCAGTACCATAAAAGCAACATGGTTTATGTTCTGTCAACTTTTCACACAGGCTGGACTGGCACATAATGAGATCAGCAGTTGATCAGTGCATGACCATCCATCATTGACTTCTGAACAGACGTTCTCCAGAGCGGATTGGCGGTTACTGTACAGGACTGTCCTGTAAAAAGGAACGACTGCGGAACTGGCTAAGGTTGGATCGAAAGCGTTTGCCGGTTCAGAGTGAATCCAGAGGGCAGCTCACTTTTTAGTAATAACAGGTTTCTGGCAATGACCTTTCGAGACCCTTTTTCCTGACCATAAATTCTAGTATAGTGGCTTTAACCTAGAGGAATCGCGCCAAATTCATGTTTTAAAGAGCGAAAGAGACAATCTAACCAATTTAAGTCCTTGAACCATGAAAAGGGTTGCATAGTAACTGATGAACAGTCAAGTATTAAAGAGTATGCTTATAGCAAAAGCCACACTTAACATTAAAGCTGCAGTCCGTAAGTTTTGCCTCTTTGTCGCCATCTCTGTTTGAAAACCTGGAATTGCAGCTGTGTGCAGAATTATCTAGCTTGGGTTGTGAGTGGGCGTGGGCTCCAGCGCGGATGAATCTAATATTTTGAGGAGTATGTGTGGCAGTCAGTCACTGCACCGGTGTGGATATTTACTGTACTTCGCAATCACAGATTCTAGCCTACGTCTTGGAATATGACCCAAAAAAAGGGTTATACTTTATTCTCAAATGATTCATGTTAACAACATCAGCATTGGTGACTATGAGTAGGCTATAGTGTGTATAAGCGTGTAGATTTCGATATCTGCACAGTCTAATTGTCATACTCTTCGAATATTCATATTCAGAAATTCTTTTAACCCAAAAAGAACTGGTTTTCTTTAAAATACAAATCTTTGTAATCCCAGGCTATCTGTAATCAGAAGCACATTTATAAACTGGAATTTAATTTAATTTCATTCACATGTGTTTCATAAACACATAATCCTTTCTGGATTACAATCCGCCATCAAAATGATACATTTAATTATTCT